AATTCCAAAAATCTTTTCAGGACCCCACCTTGATTTTTCGGGACCCCACTTTGGGTCCCGACACCAACTTTGGGAAACACTGATCTAAAGGGTTGTAAAATGTACACATCATCTATCATCTGTACTAACAGTTCCCAAAATTTTCAGTTTGTGACCCACAAAATAACAGCAGCAGAGACCAATTACTTTTGGGTGATAAACATCAAAGGTCAAATAAACAAGGACACAATAACAACATTCATTATGCTACTTTCATCTATTTTTTAAGTACACTAAACTTACTCCTTTGTAACAACTAATGCAAAAAAAGATGTTTTTAGATGGAATTAATTCTGAAAACCTTTTCAAGACCCCACCTTGATGTTTCAGGACCCACAGCGGGGTCTCGGGAATCACTGATTTATACAATACGAACCAAATGTCTTGAGTCAAGCAAATTTCTAATACTTTATTTCTAAGCAGTCAGACTTCCTCAAAATCTTTGCTCAATATTTGTTCAAGCTGTCTAAAAATCCTCTAAGGGTTTTCCTTGTTTYTAACTTTAGCTGCTTTTTCATTATTTTATGCTCATTTTAAAGACCTTTTTTTGTTTTATAATCATTCAGATGTAAAAACTCAAGTGACTCAGTGTTATGTCGACAAATCTGCCTCACTGGAAGAAAAGCATGAATAAATTCAATATAGTTTAAAACTTTGCACAGTTCTATACATTTGCGAACATCAACCTAAACTAATAGGTGTTTCTTACAAAAGATACGTTTATTTCATTAAAAGTCTTCTTTTATTATAAGCTTTGAACTTTTAACTGTAAAGGTTTTGATGATGACAAAACATTAAAAAGAGATATAATGATAGTCTTTCAAGTTGCCTTCCCCCTCACAAGCCTCTATTATTGTTGCAACAGGAAGTTCTCGTTCTTCCCGCATTTCACACATGCAAATGTTTACTGCAACTGCTGGGGTATCAGCAATGGGTGCGGCATCAAATGCAGGGGACTCCTTCCTTCCTTATAACTCTGAGCGTCTGATAGTGAAGCAGCAAATGCACACACTGTATTTCTATCCTTATTAGGACTGTTCATTGACTTCTATTTATTTCCAGTTAATCGTACTGCCTAACCCTGGCCCTTTACCCTAAACCTAACCACCCCAGTACATACCTAACCCTAAAACTGACCTAAACTCAAAAGTCACCTTAAACGTAACCCCCAATCCAATAAAATGGAGTTCCATCATATTAGGACCAGTCTTTGGTCCCCATTTGGATTTCTGGTCTTGACAAGGTAGGTGTGTATCCCAGAAATGATCCAAAAAAACATAACAAATACAAATACACACCGCAAAACCTGCCACTGCAAAGAGACGGATGATTCACCACAAGCTGTAAGGTGGAAGAGTTACACTTTCAGAGGACCTCACTCCATCTCCATTCACTTTAAGTTCCAAAATTCAGCAGCCTCCAGCAGAGACAACACATTTGCTCACAGTGAACCAGCAGTATTGTGAAGTGAAACAGGAAGCCAGCCCATGGCATAGGCAGTATAGGCAAATACTAAGGGCACTGTCCGTCTACGGGACACCACAAGTGGAGGACAAAAATACAAAAAAAAATTAAATAAAAACAAATAAACAAAACAAAAAAAGCATCAAAAAAATTTTTTTTATCATAGTTGATTTATTCAGTGGTTAATCAGTGGTTATGAGATTTATGAAAGTAACTTGTTCTGTGGTTTCTCATCCTGCTTTGTTCCTACATGA